CACAGACACACAGACACACAGACACACACACACACACACACACACGACACCCATGCACACACACACACAGACACCCATGCACACACACACACCCATGCACACACACAGACACCCATGCACACACATACACACTCACACACACACACAGACAGACACACACACACTCACACACACACAGAGACAGACAGACAGACAGACACACACACACCCCAGACAGACACACACACAGAACACACACACAGACACACACACACACACACGACACCCATGCACACACACACACACACACACACGACACCCATGCACACACACACACACCCATGCACACACACACACACACTCACACACACACACACAGACAGACACACAGACACTCACACACACACAGACAGACACACACAGAGACAGACAGACACACACACACACACACACACACACACAGACACCCACGCGCGCGCGCGCGCGCGCGCGCGCGCGCGCGCGCGCGCGCGCGCGCGCGCGCGCGCGCGCGCGCGCGCGCGCGCGCGCGCGCGCGCGCGCGCGCGCGCGCGCGCGCGCGCGCGCGCGCGCGCGCGCGCGCGCGCGCGCGCGCGCGCGCGCGCGCGCGCGCGCGCGCGCGCGCGCGCGCGCGCGCGCGCGCGCGCGCGCGCGCGCGCGCGCGCGCGCGCGCGCGCGCGCGCACACACACACACACACACAAACACAGACACCCATGCACACACACATGCATGCTTACACAGAGACACACAATGCATGCACATACACACATTCATATACATATGTTTTTTTGAGACAGGGTTTCTCTGTGAAGCCCTGGCTGTCCTGGAACTCCCTCTGTAGACCAGGCTGTCCTCGAACTCAGAGATCCTCCTGCCTCTGCCTCCTGAGTGCTAAGATTAAAGGCAGGTGCCACCACTGCCTGGCCATAAATAAAATTTTAAAAATTTATTATTTTGGAATACAAAAATACTACTCAGAATACAACTGAATTTACATATCCACCACGAAAAACAACTATAGCAGAGTTGGAACTATAAAAAAATCCTTTGGCCTCTATTTCGCCCTTCCTTATCACCTAGTATTGTTGTTCCCTCAGTCTCCTTTTTAAGTTTTAGACTATATATACCGACTCCTGTTACATGTGCACATGAATACCTTATAGGCTATGATTGGAATATGACGAAGAGCATGTGTTTTGGGTTAAATCATCTTGTATAATATTATATTTCCAGATCTATTCACTTTGCTGAAAACGTCTCAC